TTCGAGTAGCAGGGAGAATGCTGAGTTGTTGCCTGGCGTTTCAGCTTAACCAAACAGAAGAAGGCTTCACAGAGCTGTGTGTTTTCCTTTTTTAATGAAATCCATCCTGAGTGATCAGCTTGGTTTTTTTGAGCTCATGAAAACCTACAGGCAGCTATTCTTATTTGCAACCGAGAATTGCCTCCTAGTATCTGGGACAGGTTAGTGAGATTGTAAATGCCGGTTCCCTCCTTAATTAAGAAACGCCATCTGATGTTGGGCAAACTGTTAGGGACATAGTCCTAGAAGAGGACTGTGCAGCAGGATTTTACTGTAATAAAGGTTTGTTTACATCTGCCCCCAAAGTCTCGAATGTGATGTCGTCTTATCCCAGGCTACCAAAATATGCTCCTCTTGAACAAAACGCTCTGCCTGGATTTGTCTCTGAGCAATTACGGGATTGCTGTGAATCTTTTGTATGGGAACGTAAGTTTGTACTGCTGAGGGGCCATTAAGTCAATTTGAATGAAATCAGTGCGTAATAAACCAGAGTTATAAACTGTAACGTTGATAGTTACCATCTAGGTGTTGGAGAGGGGATTAGTGGGCATGTTACTACAGACCTGCAGTGAGCAATGGCATGAAACCACGATGAGTAATGTGAAACAATTAAATTGGTTGGGCTTGGGCATGTCAAGTGTTAAATCTCATGCCAGCGCTGGGGAACAGTGCGGTATGCCTTGCCATTTGGAGTTCGTATAAACAACGTATGGGCGTCAAAAGGCTCCGAACCCACGCAAGAACAAGCAGCGCTGCTGCAAGGGAGTGAGAGCACCAAAACGTGTCTCTAGCCCGTGACTGCAGAGTACAAGCCCTTTTGGGCAACACCTGAGCTGTAATTACTCGCTCCTGCCATCAAATGTGTTGTTTTTTCCATCTTTGCCCTTGCAGGTGTGGTGCATCAAAGAACACCTTTCAGAGGCTTCACATACAACAGATGAGCAAGGCTAGGTGCGTCTGAAGCCAGAATGCAATAGTGGTGTCTTAGCACGCAAGAAAAGACGATGTGCTGTCTCCTCAAATGGCACTGACAGCTCGTCAGCTCAGCATGTTAATATTTTCGGGCATCATTAGAGGCTAGTATTTTCATGAGCAAGTTGCAGTAATTGTTCCAGTTAACACTTGTGTTTGCTGCTGTGGACTTAAGCACTCAGAGCTGTTAGGTTTTCCTTTCTGGTGTCACCCCTCATAAACTGAGGGGCAGAAGCACCAACAGTAACAAAACTGAGGGAAAAGCTTCAAAGTTAGTACTTGAGCGAATGGCAAGGGAAAGACTTAGAAACCCTGCGCAAGGGTTTTCCGTGTATTTTTGCTCCCCTGCCGGTATGACTCCATCTAAAACTACGGGTCTCACGTCCTACAGGGTTTCTTACCGGGGGGAGGGAGGAATCTATTGTCATTAAATGTTTTTTGAGAAATATTTGCCTATTTGAAGAATTATTTCTAATGCAGTTGTAGTTAATAATGCCTGACACTAGTCTGTTTGTGTCTTTCTGCCATGATGGGGAGGATTTCAAGCACTAGGTCTGTATCTGGCATATTTTGTAAGCATGCTGTCTACTGCCTTAATAATATAATTCTTGAAGATAAAGACCCTGTATTTTTTTTTTGAAGGAAATTGCTGAACAATTTTCTGAAAGGTGAATTTCTCTAAAAACTAAACTCCTGTTTCAAAGGGGTTTTGCGAGTGTGGTGCGACAGGCCGTTCTTTCCACTAGTCGCTATTAATTCCTAAATTTGATATGGTGATATAGTGGCAGAGAAGAAAGGAAAATCTTCGCATTCATTGGCGCAGGTACTCAGGGAGTGGGAAAGTGATTTCAATGTTAGTTGTTTTGTCCACCTAGATTGCTCAGATTAATTCCATGGAGCATCCAAGTCTGGAAGTTTGGAGGAGCTTTTTGAAGGCTATTACCTACTTCTTGAAGTCTCCGTCCGCTTCTTTCAGTGCAGCAGAAAATGTTAGTCCTGGTGATCTCATAGCTCCTGTTCCAATTTCAAAGGAAACGTGCAAGTTTGCGGTGTGACTCAGCTGTACAAGGATACTGCTGTGAGCAATGTTAATCCTAACTGACTATTCATGTGTTTTGTTGGTCTAATATCCTTGTAATGTGGCTATTCCCTTTAAAGAAAGCAAACAGCCTTTGTTCTCCTCTTAAGCTATGTAAGACACTTACTCTTAATCACATGACTGCAGAAGTAGTTTGGGGCCTGAAGCTGCAGTGACTGAATGCAGCTGGAATGCAATATGTCACATCTGGAAAAGGGGGAGTCGATCCATGATTTTTAAAACGTAGGCTAGCCCTCACATTCAGTCAACTGTAATGCGAGTATCTTTTTTTGGTGGTGGTTATAACTAAAACACCCTTGGTTGGTTGGGGAAGGAGGAAAAAAAGCTTGGGTAGCTTTTGAAATTGATCTGAATTTTTTTCTTCTGGGGGAAAAAAAAAGTAAAATAATTAAAAATCCTGAAGTCTGGTGTACTTTGACATTTGCCTTCTTGGGTCTGAGAAACAATTTTGGATACAGCTGGAAATCATAGCAATTGATGCATCTGAGCCAAGAAATAACTGTATGTGAGACTAGCAGAAGCAGCTGTCTAGCTAATATCCTGCAGCAAATACGGGAAGACTGCTGCTTTTTTAGCCATTTCCCTTCTGGGTGTTACAGCCCTAGCAGCTCCAGTGCTTCTCCTTGAGAGCAGCAAACGCTCCTGCCCCAGTGGATAGCATCGACCTGGCTTCCCCGCGGAGACCCTAGCTATCTGCTCTGCTGCTTTTGAGGGTGATGGATGGGGTGGTGCCTTCCGCCTTCCTTGAGAGGAAGGGAGCCATCGGGCTTTGAGCCCTTTCACAGACAGTTTAGGCTGTATGGGTAAGTGGTGTCACTTGTTCTCCTGCCAAGAAGGAGAGGGCATCTCAAGCCTGCTACGATGAGGACTCACGTAACATGAAATCCTCTGCTCTCCGACAGTAACCGAGGGGGAAGATACTGATCAGTAGAAAATACTGGGAGAATAGTTTAGAGCACCTCGAGCATGACCTGACGTCAGAGCCCGTAGGTAGCATCTCCTCGGTGGCGCGCTGACTCCGCTTACTGCTGCGTTTGTTGGAGTGGATAGTAGCAGCAGCTGCCAAGGTCCCTTTTAAAGTCTTGTGTGTTACAGCAAATACAGGATGAGCATATGAATGAGCAATCTTTCTATTGTCTCGCTTCCTTGGAAGTTTAAAGGGAGAATTAATCTTCTGCTCCATTGTCATCCTCTACCTTCCCCTCCTCCTCTTTCCTCTTTTCGCTACAAATGGTCTTCTGAGGTTTAAGTGTGAGGAGAAAGTAAGATTGACGTTTCTAGCTGTTAAATGAGGTTAATCAGCTTGGTGGCGGGAGGGTGGGGGAAATGCATTCTGAGGTTAAGAATGCGATATTAGTGATTAGCGGGACCCTCAATATCAGTCCAACATAAATTTTCTTCTATCAGATGTCAACTTTTGAATTAAAAGTGACCTGATTGTTTTATCATCCCCATGGTTAAGAGAAGTGGAAAAACTATGCTCTGTGTGTGTGTGTGTGTGTGTGTGCGTGTGCGTGTAAAAGACGGCGTCCTTTTCTTGTTCTCGCCAAGATATTGTCTCGAGTCTGATGGAAAGAAATTTGGGCTGTAAATCACTGTTCTGTGAAATTCATTTTAACTGGCACGAGGAGAAGAAATGAAACTACTGAAATTCTTGCAGGATGAGGAAGGTTAGTCTGAGCAGGCTTTGAGATGCATAATTTTGGCAGCTGCCCAGAACGGCTGAACTGCTGAGGAGGAATGCTAATCTTTTTTGCTAGCTTTTTGGCGTAGTCAGTAAAAATATACAGATGCGTTATTTTCCAAAAATACATCACTCTTTGCAGAATGCCCAGTGCACTGTAGGGATGCAAAGAATAGCAGGATAACCTGAATGCACCTAGCCTTCCTCATTTCAACAATTAAAACCTTGAGAAGCAGCATATCAATTTTTGCAATGTCTGCTTTGACTTAAATCCATAAATGACAGCCTGCTGGCAGAAAGAGCAGAAGGAATGATTAAAGGCATGCAACACTCCTTCTGTAACAGAAGGAGACCATCTTACAGATTGTGAACATAATTGGCTGCTTTAATTAATTTCACCTTCTTGACTTCAATATTAAAGTCTGAAAAATGAAGTTACTATTTTATAGAAATGTAACATAATTAGTAGTCAAAATACAAATAGGATATTGAAACGCAAGCTAAAACATTTGATGACAAATGCAAATTTCAGCCTAAATATTTTACTCTGTTTGGCAGTAAATCATTGCTGGAAAAAAGATGCACAACAAGTCGTCCTGCATAAATCAAAATTGAACTGTACAATGGAGAATTCATATTCTGTCATGTTGGCTATTCCTGCACCGCAGTGTGTGTTAACCGAAAACCGGGAATATCCTCGGTGGGAATATCTCATAATCTAGCCATCACCAGTTTTCTGTGTGAATTTGAAAATATGATGAAAGTGATGTGTTTTGGCAGACTTAACCACGCCTTTTCAAGAACGCTATGGTTTAGTACGTTTCCGGGGCCATGTGTGTTTTTTTTAATAGTAGTTGAACTGAAAATGGAAAAAAGTAAGTGTAACAGAAATAATCATGACAAGACTTGGAGACTGTATTCACGGGAGCATTTGGAATCATGTGCTACCCAATATTTGTTGGATTATTGAAAGGAAATGTCTTAATGGAAGCAATCAGTCCGAGTTTGTAGCTAGACTTTCAAGTTCTAGGCATTGCCAAGGGATTTGTGGAGTGAGCGGTTGGGGCGGGCCGTCGGGAAGGCTTGCCAAGCAGAAACCCTGGACGTTTAACTAAGTCGGCAGGCCCTGGTTCCTTTTCACTGCAGGTGCCAAAATCGAGCTTCTGCTCAACTATAAAAAGAAATGTGGGCCTTCTTGGGGAGATCCCTTATTGCTTGATGAAGCTACTGTTTTGGTTTTTGTTTCTTGGTTGTCTGATGTGTTACATGTTTCAGACAGGTTTTTTTTTCCCCCTTCCCAGAGGTAGAATTTCTGCTGTTCATAGACTGAGCAAGTCTCCTGTGGAACTACCGCCCATTCAAAACCAGTGGCACGCATTTTACTTTTTAATGCCACCAAACCATATGCACGCGTGCAAAGCGTATAGTCATATTCTCAAGAATCTTAGTTCTCGAGTTGCTCTTTGAAGGCTTTCTGTGCATGAAAAAATGAGCTGCCAGGTACTTTTACACTTAATCCAATAATGAGCGCAAACATAATAAAAGCTTTATTGTGATGTTTAATTATACGGTTTATAACTTTGTGATTCCTATTCTTGTACCCTTGCAGTATTGCAGTGGGAGTGAGCATACCTTGCATTCGAGGACGCTTGTCTGAGCGCTCTGCTTGGAATCGCAGTGCTGGGAAATGACTGAGGCATGTAGATACTTGAGGATTTTGATGTAGAAGGTGGTGTGTAAATGTATGGATAGATGAGACCAAACGAATGAAGAGTAAGACTGGTGATTCAGATGCTTTACCTTCCACTGGCTCCTGCGGTACTGAAAGTGTCCCCTTTTTATTTGCAACCAAATAATGCAGCAAAGAGCGGAAAGGATGCTGAGCCCAGTTAAAGCTGATTTAGCTACTAGTCTCTTACAGACTTCTGTTGCTTGTTTGAGGGTGTACAAGTGAGGGAGGCCATCTGCTTGACGTTTGAAATAACTGTCATCATCCTACAGCTATCAGAAGACTTGTGACTTGGAAAAACCCTCTTCCCCTCCCTCCCCTTTTGCCCCAGAGTTAACGCTTTATCTGCAAACTTTCTCTCTCAGGTGGGAAGAGGAACTGACTAGAAGAATGAGCTTGGAGTCTTTGGTAGAAACCCTGCGGGAGGTAGGTCGCGGACAGCATGTGGACTGTTCCTTTTGAGCTGGGGTGTGAGTGGCACAGGTTTTTCTCCTCTCTGCACCTTTTAGTACGCTGTTCGTCTTTTGACCAAAGGTGGTCGCTTTGCTAAGAACCTGGTTACCGGTTACAGCGGCTGAATGCATTCCTGTACGCTGGAGAATAGCGTTGATGTTCGGCAGTTGAGGCAGGAAGGTGCTGAATTTCCTGACAAAGTGAAATGTGGGGGTGGTGACGTGCCTTATCAGCTCTTCTCAGGTGAAGTGACAAGCGTGTGTTGCCCTATTACCTCTTAGTTCTTTGCGTGCTTTCTCTTGCAGGAGGCGCAGGAAGCGGAAGCTCTCCAGGAGGAGTTAAATGAAAAGATTGAGAGGCTGAAAGCAGAACTTGTTGTCTTTAAGGGTCTGATGAGTGATGTAAGTACACTGGAGAGCAGAGCGCTGACTCTCCCTGCCTTTGTGAAATGTATGTGTCATGCAAATGGCTTCATTCATGAAAAGGTTATGGTCTTAGCGAGTGCTGCTTTGTAGTTAGTATTATGGCTGCCTTTATGATCTAATGCATCAGACAGATCACCCTTCCCCCTGCTTCCTGTCTGGTCTGTGTAGAGATGCATTAACTTGCTGCTTAGCCCATAACCTGGACTCTTCCCTCCCTCCCCCCGTTTTCCACAGCTGGCAGCGCTGGCATTCAAATCTGCAGCCGTGGGGAAAAACGCTGGAGAACTGGCGTGTTAGCATAAAGGGTTCAGGCACCGTGCAGCCGTTGGTGCTTCGGACGAGGCGAGGAGTTTGCTCTCGGTGGCACAAGAACTTAATGTCAGAAAGGAATACTCTAATATGTTTTCCAACTGAGAGAGCTCTGAAGAGATGAAGCAAGCATCACGAGTTCAGGGTCTGGCTTTGTTTCCAGTGCTGCTTCTACCTTAAATTAAAAAACAAAAACCAAAACTGCACTTTTCTCGAGGTTTTACTCGTATCTCGTTATACGTACGTTCCTTCAAAGCTTGGGGGTCTGTTAGGCTATGACTGGAGAATTGGCTTATACTTTGACATGCTGAGAAAATCTACTCATGCAGGTATACAGAAAAACAAGCCAGGTGAACGTTAACTAAGGTGCCTTTCCCGGCAAGACTGAAGTACTGCTGATGCTGAAGTTGTCTAATGAAGATCTTTTATTGTGCTTATTTAGTCTGTGGTTTTTTATTCTTATTTTTTTATTAGTACTGTTTCCTTCTATCTTACATGAGCTTGCAGAACCTGCACCCTGATTTCACATACGTTCTCTCAGAGCCGTTAGATCTGTTCATATAAAAGTCAACAGTTAACTGTCTCTTCTTTTGGTGTTTAATAAAGAATAGGCAGACCTCCTTGGTTGGAGGCAGTGTGCAAAGGAGAAACACTTCAGGGCTACATCCCCATTACGATTTTTTTCACTGAGGGAGAAACGTTATTCAGTGCGTACAAAAGGGATGGTGATGAATGCAAACATCCTCTTCAGCTGTAGAGCGAGCTGGGCTTTGCAAACTCTGCAAGGTGGAAGAGAGCCTAAGGAAAGCAGGGAAGATGCTTGTTTTGAATCCCACTGCCTAAATATTTAGGGCAGAGAAGTAGCAAACACTGGCACATGACTCTTACCTTCCTGTTAATAAGAATCACTTTTACCTAGTCAGTCAGTAAGATAGTGGTTAGAGTGTTTCAGTGTTTAGAAATGCCTTTTTCTCAGTGCGTTTGAAAGACAACAATCCCTCAAACTTGTCCAAAGGTGGTTGACGCTAGCTGGAGAAGAACCCTGTCAAAAAATTAATAAAACAAACAAAATGACCCCTTTTTTCTTCGTAAGGGGATCTGATACTTAAAAGAGTTCTATGCTCTGCAAAGAGTTTTTCTGCTTTTCTTGTCAAAGGGGAAGCAGCGTCTAGTCGTTGAGGTGGTGCTTCCCAAGAGAGCGTTTTGTCTAGGCTGGAAAATATCCTTTTTACATAACAATATTTCTTCATAAGGAGCCAACTGTATAGTCTGTGAGGGGGTAATATCTCTCATAAATAACGTTTATAATTGCTGCCCAGTGTGAAGGAGTGCATGATATTTTTCGTGTAGGTTTTTTGCTAGGCTGGAAGGCAGTTTAATGCCCATATGAGTATTACTTTTTGTGCTGCAAGTTTTTGTGAATCTCTTTCGAGTCTTGGCTTTACTGCTTTATGGTATGTACGAAGTTGTTGTGTAGCCTGGATTCTGTTTTGAAGTGCAACTTCTCTTTGCAGGCATGTCTTTTTACTGTTTGAAATGGGAGAGTGATGAGTTTTTGTCAGGTTTTAGATTTCATTCTGCACTCGCTCAACAGGGTGAGAGGTTTTTTTCCCTCCATTTTTAAAACATTATTGACCCTTAAAAAGATCATTTTTGCCAAACCTAGGAGTTTGTGGGGGGTGAGTATACGTTTTTTTTTCAGTGGCAAATCACTCTCAGAATTGAAATTTCATTGGAGTCAGATGCAAGTATAAATTCTGAGTTGTCAAGTCTGCGTAGACTGTCCATGTACTGCCTTTCCCAGAGAACAAGGTTTAATATTGTTTAAGACTAGTATGGCCTGGGGTTAGAGAGATACTGCGGGGTATCTCTTCTTTCCTGAACTGTATAATAATAGAAGATAATCACTACTGTCCTTCCTGCAGCCCATGACAGACCTGGACACAAAGATTCAAGAAAAGGCCATGAAGGTGGACATGGACATCTGTCGGCGAATCGATATCACAGCCAAGCTGTGTGATGTAGCGCAGCAGCGCAACTCTGAAGACGTTTCCAAGATATTCCAGGTGATTAGGCCATGAATTTTCCCTAGGGTAGGACAAAGCGTGAGGGGACAAGAGGGAGCAGTGGTGAGGAATGTGGTCCAGGTCGTTCACAACTTTTTGAAGTTTTTCTAGGTAGACACATTTTCTTCTTCCTCCGTTTCCAAGTGTAGCTCTGATCTACAGAAGCTGCTGCAGCATTAAGATCTCAAAATTCAGAGAGAGTTTAAAATAAGTCTTAGGATCACCCTGAGACAGACTGTTAGTCTGATGCTACTCTACAGTGAATGCAGGGAAAAAAAAACATTCCAGGGTTCTAGGTTTGTCTAAATGGCTTCATCACGTTTATTCTCTTCGCAAGTGAGAGGTTTTAAGCTTGCAGAACTGTCATCCGAAAGTTCTTATTTCTGGCTCGGGCTCCATGACCAGAAATAACACTTCTGTGGTGGGGAGCTATGATTGCCTTGTGAGACTAGAAAATCCAGTTGCTTTCCTTTAGCTATTTTTGCTCCGTGGCGCTAGTAGGAGAGAGTCATTTAATTTGCTCCAAAAGCAAGCAGTTGCAGCTCTATGTAGAACAAACCTGTAACTCCTAATGCAGTTATTCCTGTGTCATGACTGCACTTTCAGTTGTGATTAACCCAGCTTCCTTCCACTTTGATGTGAATGTGTCTCGTTCAGTCTTTGAATAAGTCTGATTATTTTTTCCGTGTAATGATGCCATATAGGGTGTGTTGCGCTAAACGCTGTACGAAAAAGCACTGTAAATACGGTTGTGGTCTCCATTGGTTGTGCTTTTTGGCTCTTGTGAAGTTACCTAAATGTTTGCTGGGTTTTGTATCCAGAAATAGATCCAAATGTCCTAATTGGCGACAATTGTTTTTCTTGCATGTTGAGCCACTGCATTTTTCTAGCGGTTCTTTCTTGTCTTTGACTAGATTTGCTGTGTCTTTCTGCTCAATGGTAACTGCAAAGCAAACTTTTGGTCAAGCATGCAGTGGTTAAAATGATCAGTGTGGAGTATAATACCAATAAAGGATGGCTCGCTTGCCAATTAAGGAAAGCTAGAGTAGCTTTGGAAAGGACTGTGTGTTTGTGACTCTGTGGCACCATCTGTAAACCTCTGTGAATATCTGTTATGTTTGCAATCCTCAGATGGAGAAATAATCCTCTATGCTCTTTGCTGCAGTATCCCTTGAGTTCTCTCTGCACATCTGTAAACTTGATTTCTGTGAGGTTGTCCAGGCACTTTCACAGTTCAGTTAACCCTTCTTTTGTCAAATTGAAGACTAGCAGTCTATGCCTCTGGTTATGGGGTGGGAATGACCCTCAAGTGAAGACTATCTAGAAAGGTTTCTTTTGTACCCTTTGGTGGTTGAACGGTGGAAGCATCGGGCCTGTGGTGGTGGCGGCAGGAGAGGGAGAGTTCTGTCATCGCTCTCAAGCCTGCTGCCTGGGCGTTCTTGCCAGCTTATGCTTTTGCCCTGTATCATTCTAACCTCTGCATGTTCTCTGGTAAATCACAGACTGTTGTCGATGAACATACAAACACATGTAGAGTGCTGGTAGCCTGCAGCTTGCTTTGCTCTTTGCCATTTTGAACTGCTTTCTTGTGCTCTACGTTCACCACTCATTAACAGATGCAATTCCTGTCTTTAATATGTGCAGTCATTGAAGTGCCTGGGAACTGATGAACAGTTATATTCACTCAGACCTAACGCCTCTCTTTCTTATCTCTGCACCTCATGGTGCAGCACCTCAGTTGAACCTTCTAGTTATTGCCCTTCTCTCCGATTAAGGTGGCTTCCAAGAAGAAAGAACGCAAGCTAGCATCGGACGATGACCTCTCTGAACAGGATGGAGAGAATGGCAGGTTCTCTGACGATGAGGTCAGCTGTTCTTTGAACATCACGGATGAAATGAAGCGTATGTTTAATCAGCTGTGAGTATCTTGGACAGCGTGGGGAACACTTATTCTGAAATGCAGACTTAATTCCAGAACTCAAGTATTGAGATATTTCTACAGGCTTTCAATCCGGGTATCTTTTTTTCTACCCAGTGTTGACTGTGAGTTGAATCTGAACCGCCAGCATTGTACTTTTTCAAAGGTTTGCGGGAAGTTCAAGTAAGATTAACAAAAACTGAATTTTTCCTCCCTTAAACAGAGAGAGGACTATAGAAAATATAAGAATATAGTCAAACTTTTCTGTTACGCTTGCCCTTGTTATAGCTTATAACAGTAGCAAGAGAAGAAGCATATAAAAAGTATGAAGTGTTTGGCTGAATGTTTGGCTTAATATTAGATTTCTAGAACCTCACAGCTGATTCCAAACAGTGGACAGAAATTGAGAACGTTGTCACTAAAAGCGCAGTTCAGAATGCGAAATACTATAGAGCTGTTTTTCGTGATGTTTTCAGTTGAGTTCTAGGCAAACGGTAGTGGTGGATGTGTCCGGAAGACCAGCTGCTATAGCGGTGGACAACAGTTTCTAGATGCCAGGAGCGTCAATGTTGTAAACCTTGCTGCCAGGCCTCTCCTCCCAGATTGGAAGAATCCCTGATTTATTTTGCCTAAAGCTTTACCCCAAATGCGCACGTTAGCAGGCTCGTGGCAGCCAAGAAGAGACTCTCAGAGCCTTGGCGCTACGCAAAGCGGCCAGGAAGCCGGTGGGCGACGTGCCCTGCTGTCCTGTTCTCCCGTTCTGGAAATGGCGGGGTGGCTGCAGTCTGGTGGGAGTTCTGGGGCTCCCTGCGGTTTTCTGTTGGCGAAGGGGAGCCCCAGCCAGCGCAGCAGGTCTGACCTTCTCGGCGTTTGAATGTGCGTGTCGTCTGCCAATTTCTGCAGTGACTGTGCTGGAAGAGGAAACGCTTCCCTGCGCTTTCCCACACAAAGCAGGACAGTTTAATACATAGGAGTAAACAAGATATTCTCTAAGGAGTGCTAGCTCCTTTTCTGCTGTCAGCTGTTGCCAAAAGATCTATTTTGAGGGTATGTGTGTATTTCTTTCCCCCTCAATTTCGTGTGTAGAGGAGGGCATGCTTTGTCCAAAAGGTAGGTAGCTCTTCTTGTTAGGACTCCTGTTTTATAGGTGTTTATAGGCGCTCACTAATATTTCTTCCTCAGGCTCATTTCTCTTGGCCAAGTGTAAAACACCCAGATTTCAGTGTAATAAATGCTAATAAATGCAGATTTTTCATCTCTTTGCTGTTGGAATTCAGAATAGCAGCAAATAGCCTGTTGGTTTTTTTCTTAGAAAAGCAAGAGGCTCCAGCTTAGCCACTAGGTTGGTAACGCGTGTAGGTTTATTGTCGTTGCTAAACCTGACCTGTGATATCCAGGTTTTGTTGGTGCTGCTGATGAAGTGTTTGTCTCCTGATCCTATGCTAGTTGGCAGATAATTATTGACCACATACATATTTTAAAACTTACCTTGGACTGAATGTACACTCCTTACCTGTGCTATAGATGCACAGTTGTAGTACCAGATATCTTTTCAAATGGATTGTCCATGCAACCTAAGGTAAGTTGCCAATAAAATAGTGTTGTTACTACAAGGTGGACGCCCATATAGTTTAGCACTTCTTGATTTCAACAGGAGAAAAAAAAGCTTATAATGCCTCCGGAATCACCTTGGTAGATTCAAAGCAGGCTGATTTAGAACGGTGTTCATGGCTTATTAAAGACGATACGTCCTGAAGCATGTCTGGGGGCTTTGCGAGGTAGAAGGGAAGACTTTACGAACAGCGGAACAACTTGACTCCTGAACAGAAATTAAAAGCAAAAACTCAGTCAAAATGCAATCATCTCTGAACACTTTGTATGACTGAAGCAAGCAGCAGTTGGAACTGGGAGTCCTTGTGCTCTCTAACAAGGATAACTCTTGCGAAAAGCAAGTGATTTGAACAAATTGTATTGCAAAAGGCAAAATCACTTTTGTCCAAGTTTTTTTTTTCTCTTGTCTGATTGAATATAGGCACAGACTGCCTCATTTCCAAAGCTCTTTAGTCTCCTAAAGACAGTGTCATACTCGGCTTCCGGCTTGAGATGTTATCTACTTAAAAGGAAATGAAGTAAAGAAACAAAAATGCCTCCCTCTGAAACGGGCAGACTGCTTCTGTGAATGTTTTCAGATTTTTGTCAGGCTCCCTAACAGGGCTGAGAGGCAGCTACTGGGCTTTGGCTCTGCTTCTGTCCAAACCAGAAGCAACTCAAGTGTCTTCTGAAACTTTCCTTAGTTGCACAACTGGCCGTGCTGCAGAGGCTTGACCGCATAACGGTGCTATAGGCCACTTCTACCGCGTTTGTTCTTGATCTTAAGTGGTTGTAGCAGTATCCTTGTTGTTCAATTCGATAATAAATATTTACGTTCTTTTGTGCATTGTTTTGGGGATCAGGCATTTTTTCATAGCTGTTAGTCTTGGAACTAACTTTGGTAAGTGCTGCAGAGAAAAGGCTGGCAAAACTTCAACGTTAAAATCAGCAGGGAGTCTTCTCGTGGCTATTTCTTGTAAAACTTCTCAGACTGTGTTTTGGTTCATTTTCCCACATATAACATGAATAGTTTAAAAGATTTTTGTGGTTTTGCAAATAGAGGAAACTAACTTGCAGCACCATCTGGAGGAGAAAGCTGGCAGCGTGTACTTGAGCTGGGAACGTTAACAAGGTCCCTTTATTCTGCTGGGGGGGTGGCAAAGAGCCCAGGCGCGAGGGACTTGCAGGCAGCGGCACAGCCTGTCTTCAAAACCTTCCAAGATTTTCAACAGTCATATTGTCTCCTTCGTTTAGTTCTCATAGCCTTTTCCTGTAGCACATCATTGACGGACTGAGGAAACGGGGCTAGGGTTGTTTTCCCTAATGCTTTTTTCTGTAATCTTAACAGGCGTGAGACGTTTGATTTTGACGATGACTGTGACAGTTTAACATGGGAGGAGAATGAGGAAACATTGCTTCTCTGGGAAGACTTCACAAACTGCAACCCCTCGATCGACCTCCAAGGAGAGGTGAGTTTTCTTAAACTCTTCTCTGCGGGAACGATATCCTTCAGCTGCTCTTTCAGCCATTTCAGCCTTTGGGTATTTGGCTGGTGATCTAGTTTGCCACGCAAACTGGCTTTGATTTCAAATCGTCTTAGGGCTTTCTCTTTATGGTTGCTTTTCAGTCTGTCCAATCAGTTTATTTGCCAAACTTCATTTCTTCTGCTCCTTCAAATTGAGTGTTTAAAATATCAAGAGAGTGTCAACGGATTCGATATGTATTAGCTGTTGTGGAAGCATCACGCAGTCTGTCACCCTAACCAGTCGTTTATCTGAAGCCCTATATGCTTCACCCAGTATCTCACTTTCTCTGTGGATTATCATCTGCACCTTTATTGCTGCAGAAATAACGCACATAGTGTGTGGGATGGTGCTGCACGGTTTTCTAGTGGGGAGAAAAATAAATTCAGTATGGTCCCTGCGCGATATTAAAATACAAACAGCCCATCAGAAACAAAGAAGCTGCGATTGCGGACGACCTCAGGGGTCCTCTGAACCAGTGAATCTTGCGCTTCCATCTTCCCTGCCAATAGGCATGTCTCCTGGCTTTGGTGGATAGTAAACAGCTTGCTTTTAATCCTTCGGATCCCAAGCAAAGTAAACTAATGGCTGCATGCTGCCTCATTCAGTGACTCCTGAGCCTCTTTAAACAGACCTAAAGAGAGATTTCAACGGCAAGGTCTGGCTTTGTGCAGGCAATCTTAAACGTGAAGTTATTATTTCATTACTGAGTAGCATGACAGCCGTAGGTGAGAAATAATCCTGCTTTCTTCCATCATCGCTATAGTGTAAAGATGCTGAGGCAGCAGTCTCTGGAATATTGTCTTGTGTTGACTGCCAGGGGTGCGTTAATTTACATCTTGCCATTTGTGTATCATCTGGCATACAGTGAAACTGCAGAGATTACTTAAAAGTGCTAGGACTGCAGAAAGCAGTGTACTTAGCTATATGTCGTCTCGTGAGCAGGGAGAGTGGCAGAGCGATAACGTGCAGCTATGTGCTGGAATTAGTGACAGATTTATTTGCATATACCCATGTGTGCATGTATAAGCACAGCTATCAGAGGAATATTGCAGAACTCAGACCTTCCATGCAAAAACTCTAAAGGTTTTAAGAAGCTTAAATCCTTCTAAATGAAAATTATACAAGGAAAGGGTAGATTTGTCTTGTAGATGGAGATTCAGAATAAAGACCGCTCAGTCTGTGCCTGGTTTTTAACGCAGTGCTTTACATGCCTGAGTCTTCCTTTTCCACTGGGCTTTATTCCTTTCAAGTTCTTATGCAAGTGCCCTAGCCACCTTCTTTTATGACCTTCCTCCTTTAAAGCTCTTCTGCATATAAAAGGATAAGTGGAATGATTCTTGTTACTATAGACTGGTTAGCCTGACGTTGATCCCAGGTAGGATCCTGATAAAGCTGCTACAGATGTGGCCAGAGGATGGTGACATAATTAATGTTCGTCAGTGTAGTAGCATCAAATGGACGATAACGTTTTTTTCTGAAATGTTAAAATGAAATTTTTTCTGAAAAAGTAGGGTAGGTAATAACATGAAAGAGTAGTGACGTTGTTAAACTAGAAAACAGTTGATTTAGTCCCTCTGACAGCGTGAAATAGTGCTATATGTTTGACTTTCGTAGCCCAGACTCAAATTATGCACTGTGGATACAAAGGAATGATGATAGAGGAATTGTTGCCAAGCGGGATGTTTCCACTGGATGATGCCACATGTTCTCGATCTTGTGTGCACTATTTCCATCAGTTGTGCGCTTGAGCGAGCTTGTCTTATTCAGCAGTTAAGTGAAGAATCACAATAAGAAGCAACGCGTGTGGAGTATACATGCCAGATAATGGAGACTGAAAGGACTTGAGAGTAATAGCGTATAATCTATTGCTCACGTCATAAATCCTGCGTTTTCCTGGTTGTGTACCCCTCTTTAGGGCACGGAGCCTGCACTTAGTTTAGGCCGTCTGTAGCCTTTTCTTCCAGAAACTGGGGAGAACACAGTGGTGGTATCGTACTGCTGGGAGATAATACTGAATGGTTATATTGTTGTGGGAGAGACGGAACAATCCCTGGAAGAAGATTGAATAAACTTGTTTCTGTGGTGTGTGGGCCCTTTTAAGATTTCTCACTAATTACTCTGTGTCCTCCTTTCTCCCGCAGGAGGAAAACCTGGGAAACTTGATCCATGAAACAGAGTCTTTCTTTAAAACAAGAGACAAGGAATACCAAGAAACAATAGGACAAATAGAGGTAAGGAAATGATTCATGACAAAATACATGTTGTTTTTAATGGAAGAAAACACCTGTGAGGTTATTCTGGCCCAGGTGCATACACACACGCACGCACGCACACACAGAGTGAAGTGTAAATATATGTATATATACATATGTGTCCTTTTTCTTACCTTTGGGATTTTTTTCTAAATGTGACTATATACAGCACTATTAGTGAGTAAGCATAAATCTGTAACTGGTAAAGAGAGAACCTTTCGAACAGAGAATAAAAAATGCCCTATTGTTTTTCCCCAGTTGTCTTATATACCCACCATCTACTGGGAAATGCTTTATAAGAAATACCCCCAGAGGCTGCCAGGCTGAACAGCTGTAGCTTCTCTAACTCTTTGTTCTGCCTAGAACATGTTTTCATTAATTATTGCATATTGACGAACAAGATAGCAAGCAGCAAAAAGTTCAAGAGGTGTTTAAAAACAGTGTCGAGCTCTGACTAAAACACTCTTCACAAGCTGATGAGCACGATGACAGCAGGCAACACTGAGGTTGGAGGGCGTGTTGTGGGCATTTGGGATTGGATCTGGGCAGTTTTAGCTTCCCCAGCAGCGTGTCAAATAGAGCGAGGCTGGGAGAAGCAGCAAGCAGTCGCCTGAGGTTCATCGCTCTCTCTTCTTTTGTACAGCTGGAATTGGCTACGGCAAAGAGTGACATGAATCGCCACCTTCATGAATATATGGAAATGTGTAGTATGAAAAGAGGCCTGGATGTACAAATGGAAACTTGTCGTAGACTTATTAAAGGCTCTGCTGACAGGTAAGATGAGGTTACTACGTTGCCTAGGGTGCTTCAAAGACTCGCTTTGCTCATGTGTTGCCTGGCACGCTGTTGATAGACAATAGTATCATTTTTCCTAAAGGCTTGTTATTTGGGTAATCGTGCTTTGTTCAGGGACAAGTAATAGTCTTAAAAGAAACTTTGTAATAGTGTATAGGGTTCAACACCAACTGTTTAAAAACAGGGATATCACCAATAGGACTGGCAGTGTAGGTGGGCTCACCTCTTCTTGAACTTGGATATAGAGGCTTGGTCTAAAATGTCATAGATCTGGACCTGACCCGCTCTAAAATAAACACACACACACACACACCCTGCCCCCCAAAACAAAAGAAAACCAAAAAAACCCCCTCCAAACCCTTCACTAGGGACTTGTACAAAGAACTCCACCTTTTCTCTTCTCATGTATTAAGAATCTATTTGTATGCTATAGAGGGATTTTTCTCCTGTAACCTGCCCTCACTATCTGTCCTGGCTTAAAAAAAACAACAAAAAGCTTTCTCGAGGTTTCAAGGTGCAGCATAAATTTGAAGCTCTGTGTTATGTTGAACTAGCATGTGCACTGGACTTAGTTTCCGTTTTCCCCTTCTGTAAATCTAGGGCTGCCTTTTTGTTTAAATAGCAGATTGCATATGTGGGGTTGGGAGCGCATGGGATGCTTATGCTTACTACTGACGCTTACTGCAAAACCTTCACAATCATAAGGGATATTCTGAGTTGTTTTGGGAAGTGAGAGAGCACCTTTTCTTTACGGACTTCTTTTTTTCTTCTCTGTTAATGGCATTTAGTTTTTTTCTCTCAACCCATCTCTGAATTTCTCTACAGGAATTCTCCATCTCCCAGCTCTGTAGCCAGCAGCGACTCAGGAAACACAGATGAAATTCAGGACGAGTTGGACAGAGAGGCGGATGTGGAACCCATGGTCAGCTGATACGTAATGGGAGCATTCCAGTTAAAGGGAAAATTTGAGAAAAGATTAAAAACAATACATGGATGGAGGAAAAAAAAGACTGCTAAGCCCTCGCACAGACAGGGTTTCTGAGGACTCATTCCTACACGCATCCTCACCCCACCCAAGGATTGGTGCTGTAAATTTCTATTGTTATACAAATCATAAATGCAGAGTCCTGTAAGAAAACATGGTGTTTTAATTGTGCCTTTGCCCCAAGCTGAGCCACTTTGCGCTCCAGTGGAATATTAATAGCAGGTGTTTTTATAAAAAATATTATAAAAAAATCTGGCAGCAGCAGAGAATGGTGCTGCAAAGGCTCTGGGTATTTCAATAAGCTTACGGTTTTATTGAAATGCTGCACTGACTGGCAAAAGGAACACTGGCAAATTGAGAAGAGAATCCAGGACAATTAAGGTATGATTAAAAATGTCTGGCATAAAAAAATAATGCCTCCAAATTGAACTGTAAACACTTAAATAATAGTGGGTTTAGAGACAGCTTTTAGGGTTAAGCAGTTATACAATATTTAAAGGAATTGCTTCATTCCATCTTTCTGGGTGAAGGAGCTTTTGAGATCTGCCCAAGCTTTCTGCTAAGCTCCAGAGTCCAAGGAAGCCGGTCTCAGCTCGGTGGCAAAGCAGGTGGCAAAAGGAGGGTTCAGTGGGGTGGGAATATCACTGATAAACTACTATGCAAAAAAAGCTCGCCTTATGTATATGGAATGTTTGGTCCTTGCTGGGCTGCAGTTATCTCTTGGGGAAAGGAAAGCTAAAACCACATTTGCACATGTTAGTTATCTGTAGAGCTTCCTTTGAGGAGGAATGTCTTGTTACGATGCCTTTGTTTCCAGTGGTTGGATTATGAGGGGAATCAGCCCTTCAGTTCTCAAGGGTTTTTTTTCCAGTGGTTTTTTGTTGTTGTTGTTTTTTTTTACTGTAGTTTTTGCAGATTTTACTTTGCTGACTGGGAGATGATACATTTTTTTGCTGCTTTCATGATGTTTAGAGTGGGATAGTCAAAGCATCAGGATAAACTGACATGCCATGCTATAGATGTAGGCTTGAGACATGACACTGGGAGAGTTCCAGACCACTGTTCTTCAGAAAGCTGAAAATCGGAAAATACTGTAATCCTTTTTAGGGCGTAGTAAAATGAATCCCAAACTACTGCTGCCCTTGACTTAGGGAAGAACAGCCATGTGCTTTCTCTGTGAGAAAGTGAGAAGAGCTAGGCTTTATTTGTCAATCTCTGTATTCTGAAGCCAGAGAAAGCAGCATCAAAAGTCTGGTTACTTGGTAATGGAGGAAACTCTGGCATGAACATGCTGTTTACGGTTATTAATGGGAGTTATAGCACCTCAGCCAGGTAAAAACAGGGTTGTAAACCTAAGCCAATACACTTTTATTATTTTTTTAGGCCAAGATTGAAAGTACAGTTAATACTGCCTAAAAGGTTAACTGTACAGTTAACTAGCACTTGTGAGACTTGAGTAAATACCAAATGTATCTTTTTCCTGCCAGAAAATTTGGAAACCGTTATGGAGGAGCAGTGCTAAGACTGGCCAGGGAAATACCAGATTAAAGCACCTTCTCAGCGTTCTCTGGAGCTAAGATGGCCAACCGTTTAGCTTCCCGAGTATTGTTTCCAAGCCTCTCCTCTCTATTGATCTGAAATCGGAGGGATTGCTTTGTAAGCAAGCAGCCGGTGCAGATCAGTGTTGCTCTCTCCTAAAGGAGCCCGAGTGTTTCAGCAGACGGCGCGCGTTTCTAGGCGGAAGAAGCCTCTCCGTCTTGCGCAGCTCCCTGGCCCGGCAGAACGCCGCAGGGGTTTTTTCAGAGCGGAGAGAACTACGATGATCCATCCGGATCCACGGTGATCCATCAATATGGTAAATCCGTCCATAAAAGGAGATTCAAGGATGTTCTTAGGGTTTCCTTGCCATTTGAAATACTCCGTGCAGTTATTCATAGAGTAGCTAGTAACTTCTTGATTCTTGTGTTGTTAGTTAGTGGCTTTTTCAAAGCCTGTTTCCATCACATATACATATATGACTTTTCTCTGAAAAAGAAACCTTATTCCAAAGTGCTCATTCCTATTATGTTTTTTTTATGTGGCCAAAGTGGTAAATGTTACGTTCATTAAGGCTGCAAGTTGGGGGTGGGTGGGCAGGGGAAAGAAATATCAGTAGTGATATTTTTTTTTTGAGGGGACCGGGACTGCATGTTTTCCTTCAAGTATTCTTAAGGTTATCAAGCCTGTTTGAACTTCAGCTGCTAAATGTGTAGTTTCTCACGAGGCTGAGAAACCGTCTGCCAAAGCTGAATGTCTGTGGCTGAATGCTTTAGTGGCTTTGGTGGAGGCATTGTCAAGCAAACTACTTGCACAGTGAGTCTGCCTCCTCGGAGGCTGTCGTTCAGCTGTCCTCAAATTATGGAGTGCTCTTTGGTACTGGAGAAACTGAGCAATTTGAACAGCTGTCCAGCTTAGCTGCAGGGTTTATTATTATTATTATTATTATTATTATTATTTTCTTTAAAACTCGGTATCCTAGGAGGGAAGAGGCTGAGTGTTCCTGAAATTAGTAGCTGGTATGTTGAGGTAGGAAAGAATATCCTCAGTTTGACAGTGTGAGCTAAATGAGGAAGCGGATGTTTAGCTGCCAATACAAGTTATCTGTAAGCTACAGTTTCTCTCATAGCCATAATTATGAGGCGCATCTGTAGTGGGGTTGCATTTGTTCGTAAGTATAAGGGACGTGGGACTGTAGTAAAGAGTATAGAAATAACGTGTATGATGGTGATGTGTATGATGGTAAATTACCATGGTTGTTGGTGTCTGTTTCTTATAACCATATGTAATCCGTTTTAAGAAGAGAGAAGATGTTCTTATACCCGGGATTGGGGTTTTATTTTCATCTAGGCTGTATAGGAGTTAATAGCTGGTGGTCAACCTTTGGGTAGTCACGAGGGCTGGTCCTTGATAGTTTCCCTAGGAAGGTTCTGGTTAGTTTAGTCTCAAATGATGATGCTGCTGATTTAACTGACAGTGGTCCTGTTCTGTTTGCGTTTAACCACTCTGTAGCAACCAGGTCAAAAGCTTGCCAGAAAAAAATTGTGAAAATGCTGGAAATGATTTTGATGACCTCTTTTTTTTTTTTTCCTTTGTAAAGCTGTAAATACTTTATTTTTGTTTTCTATTCTTAATGCGGTGTCATATTGACACTTTTTTAGACTTCTAATCAGAAAATCCTCCTCATTGTTTCTCATTTTTTAAAAGGGGATTTCAAGGAAGCAAATTTTTTTGCTTGTTAGCAGTGTAATAATAGATCAAATTACTAAAATGGATTTGTACAAAATGTTTTCAGTAAACAAACGGCAGTTGCTTTTGTGGATGCATGTTGTTCAAAACCGTCCAAAGAATCACGAGATAGAAACATTTTTCAAGGATTTAGTAGTCATCATATTAGTTCAGACAACACAAAATCAAAATTGTTTTAAAAAGTTTGCGGGAGGGGGGTGTAATGAAATTGAACTAAGCTGAATGTGTATTTATAAAGACCACAGTATATATTCTATTTTTCTTAGAGGTTTTTAAAGTGCAAACAGAATTCTGTTAGCAAATACAATTATTCCCTTGTAAAGTATCTTCTGCTTTGATGGGACTCCAAATTCGCAACAACACAGGAGCAGTCGAACAGGCGCGGCTGTGACACACTCACCCATCCCTGTCTCGGAGCGGCAGGGGAGCGAAACGCAGGTTGCCAGCTTTTCTGTAACTGCAGAACTGTTGCCGTTTCCCGGTTTTTTGCTCTCCCGGATTTCCAGGCCTTCCACTGGAGGGTGGGTAGGGACCTCAATCTGCTCTGCTCACTGCAGGTTTCAAAACCTGCCCTGGCGTGAGGCTTGGGCTTTACCTGCCTGGATGAAAAAGTGCATTTGCAACTAGTGTAAATTGGAGGTAGTTTGATGAAACAAAATAATAGGGCAGAATTGTGCCCAAGTATAGATCGAACGCTGTTTCCCTCTGATAGGAGATGTTCTGGCATAACTATTCCTGCCAGCAAAAGTGCCAGCTCTGTCACCAGTCCAAGACTGGCCGAGTAAAAGCAACGGTGATAGGTGGGTGCTCACAGCCGTACCACAGCGCTGCAGTCTCTGCAAAGCAGCGCTCTGCTTAAGTTTCCCTTGGCTCTGGAAGGACGAAGAGTGTTTGTGCCTGGGACGAGTAATGAAGAGACCTGCAATAGTGGGAAGCCTTTGACTGTGTTTCGGTGTTTGCGAGTGCTTCATTTTAGAGTCGAACGTTTAACGTGAGACTTACTGCAACAAAATTAAGAAATGGCAACGTGCTGAATGCGAGATCGCTGTTTAACTCTGGTCGGCTAACGCGATGGACCAGACTTTTCCCATACTGTGTTCCACGGTGTAATACCCTGATGAGGATTTTCAACGTTTTGCTTCGGGACTTCTGGTTTTTGATTCTCTTGCGCTGGTCCAGGACTCGGGTTGGAGGGGAACGCACAGATTTTAAAATGTTTTCCTTCAGGGTTAGTGCTTGCTTTTAAGCTTTTATTAAAATGGAACGTCTAGCAGTTTGAGTTTTAAATGAGAACAGAAATCGCCGGTCGAGGCAATGCAGAGCATCCTTGCATTAAAAATGCTGGTTTTAAAGGTGAACTAGAAATACTGCCTGCCAAAGTGTAAATTCAACTCCTTGCCAACCTGTTTCTGCAGAGAGCGAGAGAGGGGAACGCTGAAGGCTTGAACACAAGCCTCTGGCAGAGTGGTGAAGAAACACATGCCTCTCTTTGTCTGTTTTTGTGTGTAGTTCAGCGTCGTGAGACCCTTCTGCCCTTGCAGAAGCCTTTCAAGCAGCTGCTTTTGGAGAAGCAAAAACTGTATCGAAGGAACGGATATTAGATGCTGCTGCTTGGAGTCAAGATTCCCTCCTGCCTAATTGGAGGCACTGCGATGCTGAAGCACCTTAGTAAGCGAGGTGGTGCTTTTAAGCCTGGATAGGTCAGTGGGTGGAGGAAACGAGGACGGTAATGCTTAAGGAAGAACCTGGGGTGCTTTGCTGAGGGCTTTGAAGCTGATAGTCTGTGTCATTTCCATGGCAGAACACTCCAGTGCCGCTGTGCTACAAACCCAGTTTGCGTGGTTTGTTGGCTGCCTGAACTGACAATCCCTGCGTAGATTTAATCTAAAAGTCCTAAAAGTTTGTTTTTATTACAAAGGGTTTAGGATGATTAAAAGCTTGGTCACTAGACACACTTCCCGTATAATGTGGTTTCACCAGAAGAAACACGCAGTTTAGTCCTTGGAACACGTTACCTGTGGCTAAAGTGTATGTAGCTCAGTTCTGCCAAAAATGATTATTTATTATTTAAAGTGTTTAAATGGAGGATATTGATTCATCTTTTCCCATGCCACGTCACTTCCTGTCCGTTTCTCTTAGGTCATGTAAGAATTTGTTTTATACACATGAAAACAGACTACTGATCAGTGTGGAAATGAAACTGTTTACCGTACTGTTGTAAATATTGTGCTTTATATTCTGTATATTAGCTTCTTTTAAAGAAAAAGACTTAACTGATACTGCTCTTTGATCTCTGGTAAGGAAAGGTCCAAGGGTGAACCAGTTCCTAAGCTCGCTCCAGGAGCGCTGCTGCCGTCCCTTGCTCCGAGGTCCCGTTCAAATCGCTCTCCTCCGTTTGGAAGTCCGCCCTTAGCGTTGAAAAGCGGACCGAGCGCTCCGTGCGCTTCCTGGCAGCGGATGCGAGGCTATGAGAGACTTCAGAGAGCGAACCCGTTGTCGAAGGGGCGCCGAGAAACGCGCGGCGAGAGCCAGAAGCGGTCCAACTCCTGCGAGTCCAGCGGACTATCTCCATTTTCCTTTTAGTGCCAAAAACTCTCCCTTCCCCCCTTTTTTTTAGGCCCCGGAAGCCCGTCGTTCTCCCCCGGCCGCCCTTGGGGGCGCGAGCCCGCTCCCGGAGAGGCGCCGCGGTCCTGGTTCATCCCTTCGGGTCCCGACTCCTCACGTATGAACGTTCGATGGCCGAGGCGCGGACCGCACGGGCTTCTCTGGGAAAGGGGGCGATCGGGGCTGGTTGGTGAAAGCGGGTTACAGTCATTCTCTGGTTACAAGGAAAAAAAAAAAATAAAATAAATGCCAAACGCCTGCTTACTGTCTGTGTGTATTAATTTCTGTGCTGCGAGCGCCGGGGAGCTGGGCAGTCG